TAAAAGCCCAGTAGAGTTAATTTTTTTCCCAGAACAACCATAAATCAGCATCCTTGCTGTTTAATTAAAAGCTCAGGAGGAAAATACTCGCGCACAAAAATAATGGTTGTCATCCTGTGTAATGCAGGCTCACGTGAAGACGGTGGATGTTAGCTCCCAAGTAAATATGATTGTTTTTGAAAAAGGCAGCACACCTTCCTTTCTATCGACTTTTGGGAGGGGGGGCAAACACAACCAGATCAAAACAAATTCAAGCTAGATGTTGGTTCGAGGCATGATTAAAAAGACAACCTCCCCCCACCAAACCAATCGTGGAAAACCAGGTCCAACAAATTTGGCCGGAGGAGATGGCATTTCAAAAGAAAAATGACAAATCCAGGAGGATCCCCATAAATGTGTGGGCAGGGAATCGTGCGCCCCACAGCGAAAAGCTTGGGCTGTTCATCAGGTGGGTGCACAGGGCAGTTCTTATGGCACCCTAAAAACATGATTTTGGGATGCAGACTTAGTCAGCAGAAGGAAGAGGGAGAGGCGTCCAAATGCCATAGGCGTTGTTTATTTATATATAATCTGTTTGGGATTTCCAGTTTTTTAAAAAATTATTATTATATAGACAACAGAATTAAAATCTCTGCTCAAGTGTCAGACGGACTCCTTTCACGTCAAAGCCTTTAAGATACGTTCTTCTTTTTCTGGGCTCTTCCTGAGATACCAACTTTTTAAAAAATCATTTTTCCACACTTTTTGGGACTCAGACGGACTACGCTCCTCCTCCGGGCATTTGTTTTGGCCATCTTTCTCCTGTTCCGGCTGCCGTCTTGATCGGCTGGCCCTGGGGAGCCGGGTGGTTGCCGACCATCTGTGGACGAAGGCCCAGAGAGAAGAGGGACGTTTTCCACTATGAGAGGGAAGGAGGACAAACCGTTTCGCCTTGGAGCCAGTTCTGCCCGCCGCCGGAACGGCGCACCCGGCCCAACCACCTGCTGACAACAGATGGGAATCTTGTCATCCTTCTGGAATGAAGCAGGAATTCAGACTCTGGATCCGGGATCCGCGTGGCATCCAACCAAGCTGGCAGGCCTCGAGTACCCATGCCATTGCCACGCTTTGCTTCTGCTGGGGAGGAGCGACTCAAAAGGAGGAACAGCCTTTGGCACATCCACCGATCTGCAGGGCAAGCTAACCCTGGGAGCCGATGCACTGCCGTGATTCAGAGCAGCTTCTCACTGCGAGAAGAGAAGAACGCGGGAGGAAAAGGGAAAGGGTAAGTGGTTCTCTCCTCAACACGGAGGGATGACGAACCTCTCTGTTTCCCTTTCGCCGATTCCCAGTTTTTCGTTTGCTTTGGGAACATGTGCTGTCTTGAATTCAGTGCTACCTGCACCTATGAATGAAAAGGAGGATGCCGTCCTGCGCACCTCGTTCCCAATCCATGCATCCTGGGGTGGCTATTTTGATCAAGGTGCACAGGTGGGGGAGGAATTTCACATCTTTTTTTGACACTTCCTTTTCAAGCGGTATACACCTCTGGGGTGCACATTCCCTTATTTTTTTTTCCATGCATTTTTTTTTTAATTGAGGAACTTCTTTGCAAACTTCAGAAAAGTGCAAACCCTGAAGGGGACTGGAGTATCGGTTTGCAACTGAAAAACTATGTCCAGTTACTTTAAAAGGCAAACCAACTGAGATAATGCTCTCTTTTTTCTAAGCTGGTCTCTTCCTTTTGCTGGAGCTGGTCTGTCACAGGGCTAGTCCTTTTTGTATTGTTTTCTCCTCAACCTCCTGCGATCTAAAGGTAGATTTCGCCTGCATTTGGAAGATCTCTGCAGTTCTCAACCACCCTCAGAAGTCAACTGGCTTTATTCCTTCTTGGACGCCATGTTCCTGAAGTCTCTGCTTGGTACACTGTCGGCTCCTATCCGAAAGCCTCGTCCTTTCAAGGCTTTGTGCTTCATCCCTGGCTGCCCCCATTATGCTCAGTGAGAGATAATTTTTTTTAAAAAGGTGGAAGCGGGAGGCTTCAACAAAAGGAGAGCAAGCCAGAGAGAACACGAGGCGAGAGGAGACGGCGAAGAAGAAAGCGGCAAACGTGGCCGTTGTTTATCGCACACCTAACGAGGGTGGAAAGTTTTTGTCAGAAACACGGCGTGGGGGTGCTTGGGGGTGCCCCCAAGGCTCAGCGTGGTGATTTCCAGCAGCGCAGTGGCAAGTTCTGAAGCACAGGCCCTCAGCATGACAGTAATTTCCTGGAATAATGTTTAAATGCTTTACTTTAACCTCAAGTCTTCCATCCCAACGGGTCTTTTGTAAAGCCAGTGGCTCTTAACTACTCAGTCCAAACTTATGGGGTGGGATTTGGAATTTGGTTATTCCTTTCTGGAAAAGAGAAAAGAAATTGTGGGCAGAGGCTGACCCAGTCCTACCTCCTTCCTTGGAAAAGGAAAAAAAAGATCAGACTAGATGTTTCTTGGTTGACGGAAGCCAAGCACTTATAATGTATACGTATATGGTGTGGCGCAACATCTCCGCATGTCTGTCTTCAAAGAGTATAAAATGGAGCAGGAAGGAAGGGTGGCTCGCAAAGGAAGGAAGAGGCGGAAGGGACATGGAGATCTCAAGGCCTCCGGGGGCTTCAAGCTGGGGCCGCCCTACAAAAGTGGGAAGCCCGCCCTAACGTCCCTTTGGGGAATCCAGCAGCCATTCGTGCCCCTTGGGCAAGCCTGCTAGCCGCCTGGCTGTCGTGCTCTTGCAGAATAAGGCCGCAGAAGGCGCAGGATCACAAAACCTTTATTCGACTCGTACTTTCAGGAGGAGGTCCAGACTGTTGGCAGAAGAGGACCTTGCTTGAGGTTCAGGAGGAAGGAGTTCGTTCTGGTCGGTGGCATGAAGTCCAACTCTGGAGGAAGGAAGAGGCGAAGGCTGGGGCCGCTCAAGGTCTGGGCACGACTGCTGGGCGCCCTTCACCTGCCAGAGGTGCCGAATCGGCACATTGGCATCCCCTTCTTGGCCCGAGGGGCACAACTTGAATCACCTGTTAGGCCTCCGTCTCCCGGGGTTTCCAGTCGAGGCTTTAGGCTCTGAAGCAGCATCTCCGCATGTCTGTCCAGAGGCTGGCGTGTGAGAGGAAATGGAGGGATCGGGCAGGTGGTTGACTTTTCAGAAGATTCACAGGAGGGCAGGAACATCGCTGTGAGTAGCAGAGGGGTCTTGCCGGTTTTCCTGGGGTTGGGCCTCACCAGAAGAAATACCTCAGCCGCTTTCAACGGCCGGCCAGCCTTCCCCATGCGCTTCTCCCCGCCTCGCTCTGAAACACCTTTCTGATTCTTGGATAGAGGGAATTGGGAACCACATGGTGGTCGGGGGGGGGCAGTTCAGCCTGGCGAGACCTTGTGTTCTTCTCTTTTCTCTCTGTTGCCTCCTTTCACTTTTTCATTCTGTTTGCTCTGCCTCACAAAATTAATTGATCTCATTAAGATATGCAAATGAGGTGGTGGCAGCTTCAGACTGCATTTTCTTGCAAGCGTGGGCGTCTCTCCCCACATCTCCACCTCCCCCTTTTGATTCTTCTTTGAAGAGGATGGTCACAAGGTGAAGCTCGGGGGGCAAAACACCCTTCAGGTAGTGCCAGATCTTCATCATCGAAACAACTACAATTGTATTTTTTTTTTCAGATGATGCTCATGAGGAATTCATTCTGCCTGTTTGCCATTCAAAGTGCCTTGTGCACAGCACTGGTTGGCTAGAACCAATGAGTCACTAACTACTCCTTCAGGTGGTTGTATATTTTGCCATTTCCAGCAGAAGCTGCCTTATAACATCGTCTAGCTCAGCATTATTGACACTAGATGATCCTTGGCAGGAGAAAGGTGCTAATAAACCACTAGACAACGCTGCCTCTGCATACTACCCCAAGATGAACAGCCTTGCATTTCAAGTCCTTTCTTCCCAGATCCAGGGAATCTCACAACGTCTGCGAGTATTTAGACAGAATCTGTATCAAGACCAGGACACTTGCTTACTCTTGCACCTGAGTGGCTGTGTTCAAAACAAGAAGCCTGGCTCTCTGCTTCCCACGTGGGTGATGGGTAATTATTTCCGTGGCTGATCTTGAGGAGGAAGGGGGAGTGGAGGAAACAAAAGTGGTGATTAGATTTGGAAACCTTCTGGGAAGCTGAGCTGACTCACAGTTCAGGCCACAACAGCTGTTGATTTGTAAGCTTACTTCCATGTGAATGACGGTAACAGTAGGTATCTTCACAGGTTGCCGGAGCTGGGCTGTGGGTCGCCGTCCACAGTGAGCCCAGATTAAAGATGCAAAGAATACTTGCTAAACTCCTTGTTCTAGCCAATTTATACCATCTGAACACAAGAGGGGCCACGTCAAGGAATTTTGGGACCCCGTGGGATTCCTTGCCTCTTTGCAAGAGTGAGACAGGAAGTATTTCCCCCACCCACATCCTTTTTAAGTCTTTGCATTTTGTGCAAAATGTCTCTGCATTAAATTGGTGCCATTTCCCTTTGGGAAGCACAGCAAAGTATGGCAACCATTCAAAAACATGCAAATAACCCATCCCGTGCTTCGAGTTCTTAGAAGTCCGTGAAACAAAGCGGCGGTGGCTGTTTTGTGCAAATATCCTTCTTGCAAATGGGGAAAAAAAATCTCACCAAGACTGAAAAGCCATTATTGGGAGCAGGGGCAGGAATTTCTCATTCTTACACAAGAGGAGGAGACAGGCAAAGATTTATATTCCAGCCCCAGAGAAGGGATAGGGAAACCAGTTGGTTTCCGCTTTTTCCTGTGTTTGAATGTTTTTAGTGTCAAAGTCTTTCTATCCCAAATATGATTTGTAAATTTTGGCAATGTTTTCTTAAAAATGAGCTTAAAAATGAGGTGTCATGGTGTGTGCGTGCTTGTGTGAGGAGAGGTGGCAACTGTAAATCAGCAGCACAAAGATGGGTAAATAAAGGTCCCACTCTGGAGTTAATTAGCAAAGCCTCAAGCCAAGAGAGATGAATCTCCGGCCAGCAGGGGCTCCATCTTACGCATTTGATCTCGGAGCCCACTCAAAACACCCCTTTGGTGTCTCCCTCTGGACACAATCACAACCGGCTGCTGACAAGGGATCAGATCCCTGCCAAACCTCCTGAAGGCTCTTGGCCGCTTTGGGCAGCTGGCAACCAGCAGGACCGGGGGGGGGGGCATTTTCTGGACAACTCTTTTGTTTTTCATCACCAGTGGTTCTTGGGACAGCTCTGGGGGAAAGAATGCCCCACTCAGAAACCAGTTCCCCAAAACCATGAGCGGCTGCCATATTCTCCGACATTGCTGCTTTTCCTGGTGTGTGCGTGCGTATGTGTCATTTTCCTGGCAGGATCAGCTTGATCCCCAAATCCATTCGTTCCATTGCTGTGGGGCCCCTCCTTGATGGCTGGACCGTGTCTGAGTGCCAGAACGGAGTGTGAAGAAAGTCCAATTATAACCAGCTGACAAGAGATCGTAGAGTAAAAGGGGGGGGGGAACCTCTCTCTGCTGGAGACCCCAAAGAGCCATGACTAAAGCAAGCCAAAGGTGGGGAAGGCTCCAGCCCTCAAGACGTTTTGGGCTATAATTCCCATAATAGCCCTGCTGGGCACCGAAACCCAAAACATTGGGGCGCGGGGAGGGGGCAAAGTTTCCTTCAGCTCAGGGCTAGGTGGATAAATTATCGGACTGGGTGTGAAGCAGCTGTGTTTCCCTCCTCCCACATAGCCTTGCCCCCCCCCAGTGACTCGGGCCAAACAACTGCAATTTTTGTGATATCACAGAATAATGCAATAATACCTCTTGAAAGAACCCAGGTCCTGATGTCTGCCCTACATTTCGTTTAATGCAAGGCCTTTTCTGCTTTGATGACCGTAATTGGGTTTTATGGATGGAAAAGCATCATCCATAACCCAGCGCGCACCTCCGTCTTTGGCTTGTTAAGTGCTTCTCGGCTCCATCTGCTTATTCTCCAAAGTAACCCAATTGCCGGCTCTCGGCTCAAGAGGGGCCGTCCCCCAACGCTGGGCAAGAGGACCGGGAGCAGCACATACACCCCCCCAAAGAGGAGCAGAGGAGGAAAACCTCAGTGCTAATTATTACTGATGCCCTCATTGCTGTTAATAAGAGCGACAAATATTAACTTTTATCCACATTGCACGTTGGTGAAGTAAGAATACAGGGCACAGCTTGAAGGCTTAATTGGGAAATTAGATTAATGATAAAAATGGACAGCAGAAGAAGGGAGCACTCTTAAGTGGTTTTAAATGATAGCCAGGTTTTCTTCTAACGAACTAAGGTCTGTGCCTCTCTTCTCCTTTGGTTGCTTGATCGACACAACAACCCTAGGAGGCAGGCCGGGCTCAGAGACTGTATTTTGGAGGAAATGCAGACAAATATGCATCTATTAACGGGGGAAAGAACGAAGAACGAGTGCGGGAAAAATCCTGGTCATGGCAAGTATAGCAGGGCAGCCTAATTATAAAAATGTTTTTAACCTTAGAAAGGCAGCTGGAAATGTGCAAGCATTTATATATATATATATATATATATGTTAATTCTGTTTTAACTCATGACGTGGATTCTGGTTGAGATGATGAACGCTCACCGGGGCTCTTCTTGCAGATACTTGAAACCGGACGAGGACAAAAAATCTAAGCACAAGACGGCAGTGAAGAAAAAGACCCTGAATCCGGAATTCAATGAGGTCCGTTTGCTTGGTTCCTTTGCGAGGGTGGAGACCTGTTTGAGTGAGAGGGAAATGGAGAGGCTCCCAGGCAGGCGGAGACTATTTACTGAGCTGGATTTGCTGCAAACTCCTTGAAACAGCCACTAAAGCTGCCTCGGATGCGCCAATACCCAAATTCTGACACGGTCTGGAGGAGGGGGAACTCCTTAAGAGCAGCAGAGGACCGGGCTTTGCTTTGGCCCGAGGACCCAAGCGGGTTCTTCATTTGCAAAACGGGACTCCTCAGCCGCCCAAGTCTACCTGAATCCCAGCTCTGGAACTCTTTTGACGTGGTGCCAGCTTTCAGGCCGGCTCTTCTGTGCTGTACAGTCCCGCCCCCCCCCCCCGGGAAAGTGATCAGTTCGGCCGTGCTCCTGCCAGGGAGTGCCTGCCCCCTTTCCCAGGCCCAACCACGACGGGCCAGATTCTTCTAGGCAGCCCCTGTTCTGGCTTCACATCTGGCCTTTCTGAAACCCTCCAAAGCCAGGGATGGAGTAGCGGGCGGTCCTGACATCCGGGCCGGGCGAAGCATCCCCCTCTTGCCTGGGGGTCTCCTGAACACAGAAGAGATGCTGAGTTGTTTAATGCATGGCGACTCCATTTTTAATGGCTGAGAAAAGAAAGAGGTGCTTATGGAATGCCCCGCCTTCTGTGCCCTGTAAGGTGGGTGGGTGGTGCACCCTTTGCTCAGTAACTTCCAGCAAGAAAAGGTACTGGGCCGGCCCTGGAGGAAAAGGGAATTCATTACTGATAACGAGTTGCTTGGAACGAGCTCTCTACTTCCTAATACAGTACAGCTCTCTCTCTCTCTCTCTCTCTCTCTCTCTCTGCAGGAATTCTGTTATGAGATCAAGCATGGGGACTTGGCCAAGAAGACCTTGGAGGTCACCGTCTGGGACTACGACATCGGCAAATCCAACGATTTCATTGGTAAGTCTGAGCAAGTGGTCCTCCGGAAGCAGGAGAGGGATATTCCGGCCCTTTGCTCCATTTTTGGAAAAGCACGGGGCGGGGGGCGGAATGAATCTTGACTTGGCCAAAGTTGGGGAGAGCAAGGCGTGGGTTTAATTAAGGGCTGTCTTGTTTGTTTGTTTAGCCAATTGTTGAATTTATACCCTGCCTTTCTTCCAAAAAACACACAAACAAAACCTGAGGCAAGTGAAGATATTAAAAACACAGGATTAAAAACAAATCTTGATTAAAGCGTAATATTAAAGCCGAGTAAAAATGTCCCGAGAAAGAGAAAAGTCCTTCTACATGCACGTTGCCCTCCTTCAAGGAGAGGACCTGTTTGAACGCTATCAAGGAGGGCACCCTGGCCTTCCCTCGGTAGCGAGTTCCAGAACCGGGAAGGGAAACGAGGGCAGATCCCTCTTGCACCCCATTTCCGGAGCTCCTGTTCGGACCATCCGACAGGCTTCTGTGTCGTTTCCGCCAGCCAGCCGTTTAAAGGCCTGGCCCTCGAGGAGGGTTGGGACTACAGATCCCAGCAGCCCTTGCCAGCACAGGGAAGGGGAAGGGAGGTTGTGAGCTGTAGTCCGGGAAGGCCATCGTTGGCCACTTCTGATTTAGAGACACGCGGATAAAAGTTGTACAGCCAAATACGTTGTCAGGATGATGACGGTAAACCCCCAGAAACATCCTAGGAGGGCTGGGACTTGCCTTCTCCGTCAGCTGACTCTGCCCTTTTGTCTCTCTCTTCTCTCTTTCCCGCTACCCCGGGCGCGAAGGTGGCGTGGTGCTCGGGATCAACGCCAAAGGGGAGCGGCTAAAGCACTGGTTTGACTGCTTAAAAAACAAGGACAAGAAGATTGAGCGCTGGCACACGCTGACCAATGAGCTGCCGGGGGCCCTTCTCAGCGACTGACCTCATGGACGGGCCCTGGGGCCCCCCCAGGAGAACGCACAGCACACCGTCCGACCACGATGGAGGACCGCCCCTTGCCTTTGGATCTCATGTTTACTTGGTTCCGTGAGGGACGGACCCCAAACTGGCAAGCGCAGGGGCCTCAGCGGGGAGCCCCAACCTCCCATCCCCGCGTGCGGGGAACCCTCGGGCCCCAAAGGGCCCCGTATCTTCCGTTGTTTGGCGAGCTTAACTCCTAGAGGTTTCTCCGGGAGGTCTTGAAATCTCTCTCGCGGCGAGCTGCATCATGAATGTCTGCGTGCGTGTATGTGTGTATGTGTGTGTTGTGGGGGGAGGTCCACAGGCCTGCATGTCTTAGAACCGTGACTTCTCAGTTCTTGCTGCCTTGTGAATGCAGTGATCACTTGAATGCACAATATATATAAATACCTATACATATATACATATATATACATATCTGGGGTTTGGGGGGTCTCTCTCGTTTTGTATCTATAGCTCAGACAAAGCATTTACTGAATCTCAGAACTAAGCGATCTGGGCTGTGTCTCCAGCTGTTTGGTGGTTCCGGGCAGAAGCGTTTTTCTGCATCTCACGTCCCCCGTTGTGACGTCCTCGGCATGCGTGTGCGAGGATGAAGAGGCTAGCCTTTCGTTTGGTCCCCAAAGACGGCTGACGTCCTCTTTCTGACAACCTGCACAACACATCCGTGGGTCAAAGGGCTTAGTGACTCCCCAAGGCGACCAATTCGTCCTTCTTCCACCTCCTTCCATGGAGGCAAGGGGCCCCAGAACGCCTGCGTCAAGGCTTTGCACGGCTGTAAGAGGGTGGCCTTGCGATGGGAGGTCTGAGGGCATCCACCTCGGTGGGAAGACGCCTGGTTGCTCTCAAACAGCCGAGAGCATCTCACATTCTATTCTGAGGAGCTCACACATTCCAGAAACTGCAGGCCGCCTTTATTCGGGAACCACCCTGGCAGGTGTACACAACACTATCTTCCTCCTCTCGCTCTCTGCAACCCCGCTGTCTTTCAGTAAGCAAATACGTTAGAGCAGGGAGAATCCCACGGGGAAAAGTCTGCCTTTGCGCTCAGTGTCAGCCTCTATGGCCACCGCGCAGAATGTCAAGAAGGCCAAAGAAGATTTGGCCTATTTGAAAAACAGCAACACTACCTTCTGTTTATAGCACAAGTCAACCTCTCGAAAGAAGGGCAAAATATTTCTCCTCTGCATTAACTAAAAGGTTTCAGAAACATCATGGATTGTCCTGGACTTCCTCAGGTGGTTTTCCATTCAAAATAACGGTAAACTGAACGACGACGGCAACCACGTGGGGTTCTCTTTCTCGGGATCCCCTGTCAGAGGTCCAAAGTTCCCTCCACACTTTCAGGAAACCTGGAGAGTTATTTTGGAAATGTTTCCACAAAACAAGATGTTTTCCATGGACTAGAAAAAGGAATCAGACACACACACACAAAATCACCTTCTCGGTGCTGCTCCCCTTTGCTTGGAGAAAATGGGCAAAACGTGGCACATTCCCCAATGTTCTCAACATTTTGTATCCCAGAGGAAGCCACGTGGCTTAAAAAAAACCTTCATCCTCACCCAGTCCCCATGGTCTGGCTTTCGGGAATTTAGCCATAAATCTTCTTTAGATACCTACTCCCCTTCCAAGCATTAAATGTTATTTTTATTCCCAACAATTCTACTTTTCTTGCTTAAAACAAAAACCACAATTCAATTTATTGTGAATCACATCAAGGTGGCTCACAATAAATTTAAATACAACCGTATAAATAATAATAATAATAAATCCATTAAAAACATGTCCCAGTGGGTAGCATTTAAGAGGCCAGAAAGCTAAGTTAAAGAGAGTATAATAATTTTTACCTGACGCTTGTAAAGGGGGGGTGGGGGGGGCTGGCCATTACTTCCAGAGGCCCAACGGGTCGCCTCAACCTGGTCCTTCCAAAGCAAGGGATCTTGTGAAACCCTGGAAGAATTTTTATCTTCAAGCAGCAGGTTATTTGCATTTGTAATTCCAGAGAGGCATTCTTGATTCCAGCCGTACTTTCACATATGCAGCTCACTTTAACTTTTTTTTGTGTGCTGCCTCCAATTTCCGATTGCTGTTAGAACTCAAGACGAGAGAGCGGGAGGAGGCCCTGCTCACAGAAATCTGCCCATTTTGCATCACTGCCCCTGCTGAAGAGGGGGCACGAAAAACAGAAAAAAGGACGTTTTGCTTCTCACACATTAAAAACGCCTGCCACTTTTTTTGGGGGGGGGGCAGCTTCCTACTGTGTGCCTCGGTATTTGGACTCTTCTGCTTCGGGTACGACAAATCCAGCACTCCAAATACCATTTTTTACCCTCCGTCGGGCAACCCTGTTACACTGGGAAGCGACGTACAGAACAGCCGAGATGCACCCACCTCGTCCCCTTCCAGGTTTATTTGTTTTCAATGTTATAAATCTGTTGAAGTGTTTCTGATGCTCTTTTGCTGGTTTTCCTGCCTACATGATCCACGTGGATACTTTCGTTTTTGTATCAAAGCCTTTTTTTACTGGGACTATGTATAGAACTTATATACTTATAATATACAACAAATATATATATAAATATATATATATATATTAAAAAAAACACTATTGCATGCCAGTTGGTGGTTGTCATGCAAAAGACATGTTAAATGTTTGATACTAATGTTTTGCTACAATGTGATGGCTGCAGACGGCGGTCCTGACCTGCATCCCCACGGACAAAATTTTGTATTTCAGTATTACTATGTGTCTTTTTTTTTGGTCAGGTTTGTTTAATCTTTATAAATAGAATCTCAAATAAATTTTGAAAAGCAGAGGAAAAATGTTTCAGAAGTTTCTCTTAGAAGCGGTGAAGTCTCGCCTTTCCCTTTCTCTTCCGGAAATACGAATTCTCTAGTGTGTATTCGGGCATCGGGCAATCGGAGAGTGGCAGTTCTCCGATTTCCAAGCCCTCTTTTCCAACCAGGCTGGAAAAAAATGGATTGGAAAGCATGCTCTGGCCCTGGCAGACACAATGTGAAAAACATCCGCCAGAGATGCCGGAAAAGCAACGGTCAGACAAAAATGATCTGACGTGGTACGAGGTATGTTTTAAGCCCAGCGTTGAAGGCTGTGGAGGACCGACCCCTTGACCTCAGAAAGATCCGTCCATGGAGGTGAAGAGATTGGATGATTGATAGTGTGCGAGGTGATCTACTCGTTCCCCTTCTTTTGGTGGCTCCGCCCTGACAATCTGAACTTTCTCCCTTGCACACTCTCATCCGGAGGTGATCTAGCACTGTACCAGTATACCAGGACTAGTGGGAAGGGGATCAAGTGCTAATCTCAATCCCAAGTAGGATTTTCTGTACCCATTTGGGATTGGTTCCAAGCCCTCCCCTCCTCTGCAGTTGCTGAAAAATGCAGATTTATAGTGTACGCTATTAAAACAGGGAACTCTAGACCTAGCACACTCTCTGCCTCCCTCCAGCGGCCAGTTCTGGTAACTTCATCACTAGGTAAAAGAGGTATATATTGGGGACTTTCAGACTGTGGATAAGTGAATCAGCGTGGAATTTTCAGACTGTGGATGAATCAGCGGATACTGATCCCACAGATACTGGGGTACCACTGTATGTTAAAAACACAAAATTTCTGGAGGACAATCGGGGAGAAAGTAGGTGTACCTGTGGTCCTGAACGTGTGACGTCCCAATGGCCAGCATTGCTGAAAACGCCATCCACAGACACATCCTCGGTCTTTACACCAAAGAATCAAATGACCCCATCCATGGAGGAAAGTCCGTTTGAATCATTCTGGATAGAAAAAAACAACAGAAGCCCCCAGAAGGAGGGGAGAAAAACTGCTTTGGGGGCAAAAAAAAAGGGGGGGCTTGAGGGCTTTGAATAGGCCTTGCCATTGTGTGATCAGGGAGAAAGGCTGCTTTGGGGGCAAAAAAAAGGGCTTGAGGGCTTTGAATAGGCCTTGCCATTGTGTGATCAGGGAGAAAGACGCACATACTTTGAATCGACCTGGACTATAACTGCAGCAAATCCCGTGGCTGTGAAGTCAAAGCCTTAATTTGGTTTCCCTTCAGCACTTTCCTGGGAGAAGCCACACGTTATTTACGTAGCAGCTGCTTTTTTGGCACTTCTGTTTTAGAGCCCTGGTGCTGTTACAGCCACTCCCCTGTAAATCTCCCATCACAGAATAATTGGGCAACGAGCTTCTGAGCCAAGGAAGCCCCTCCCAATTGCCACCCAAGCCAAAGACCCACAAAACGTTGCAGGAAATCAAACTAAAATCCAATTGCGAAATCGGAATAAAATGACCGCGGAAGGGCCAATGTGCCAACTCTTACCTGAGTGCTATGAAATGGTGTTTAAAGGAAGCCGTGGGAAGAGGAAAGGAGCTGGTGGAACATCTGGGAATTTGGGAGTTATTTCTTCCAGCAGGGTGTCCAGTGAGGGGGACGGGCACAGCTAAAAAAGCCCCTTCTGGCATCTTCCTCCTGCTGAACTCCAGACCTCAAAAGGAGTCCAGAGGGAAAAGACAGATCTAAAAGACAAATTTCCCCCAAGTTGGTCCCTCCCTCCCTGATGTGCTAGAACAGTGGTCCCCAACCTTGGGGATTTCCCCCAAGCTGGTCCCTCCCTCCCTGATGTGCTAGAAGAACACAATCCCCTCGCTCCCCCACAGCAGCTGGGGATCGCGAGCCCCAGGTAGCTAAGGAGGTTATCTAAAGGCGTGATCACAAGGGGAAATGAATCACAACCTGGAGGTCTCGTGGAGCCGTCTGATGGCACCCTAAGGTGCAGGGAGATGACCACCAGGGCCCCACGAGTGGAGTCTAGAAGCAAGCAAAAGGAGATTTTAAGCAGAAGAACCCAGTCTTTTTTTTTCCCCCTTTGAAAGCGCCGCAAAGGTTTCCTGGCACCCCGTCTGCCCTCCCAAATTTGTGACGGTTCCGTACCGGTCCTCTTTGATTATCGTCTTGTAGGCCGGGGGGGCCGGGCCAGACGTCGTGAACCCCATTTCAACAGCATTCCACATTATCTGCATTTTCTCCAGCGAACAGATAAAGTGCCAATACCGAACACGGTGAACCACTTCAGAAACTCTCCTCTTATCAGCATGACAGATGAGGAAAACAGGAAAGCTGGGGGGGGGGGTCGGTTTTCTCCCTGCCTCTCAAACCCTACTTTTCTTGCATCTGGGGAAGGGGGAAGCCGTCTCCGTTTCGGTTTTTAGCTCACTGTTTTTCACCACAATCCCCTGGGGAGGGAAGGATTCGACTGAAATCCATCATAAAATTAAAATTAAGCAGTCTGTCCAGACTTTGGCGGAATGTGACCAACGGGCACAGATTAAACGGCTTTCTTTCAAGGTGAAACAGACCAGACTGAGGCTGGCATCCAGGAAGCAGCAGATGCTAAACGTACGGGCCCACAGAGAGACCGGCTGGTTTTCTCTTACACCCACAGGTCCTCAGCAAACAGGTTAAGCAGGTTTAAAATCTCCAAATGGTAAGACTTAAAGAATCATAACATTAAGAGGCATTTACTTCTTCAGCAGGAGATGCCTCTTCTAAGACGATGATTGCAGCTGAATAACCAAGGTGGGTCCTGCCCCCTCCCAGGAGACACATCAAAATGCCCATCAAAGTCCTGCAGCAAGTTATAAAGTGAGGAAAACAGTAAAAAAGGAAAAAAAACCAACCATAGGGCTTAAAGCCGTGGGTGGTACAGTGATACAATTTAACTACGGAGAGCCCATGAAACCTGCCGCGTGATGCGGAATCAACGGGTTGTCTTGTAAAATGGACAGACCTGCAAAGTAAAATGCCGTTGTTAGCTGAGGAATTCTCATTTTCCAAAAAAGAGAGAGAAACCTTTCCAAAGCCTTGCCCGTTGGTCTATCCTTTGCCCGTCTGTCTTTCAAGTCTAGATTAGTATCCTGTTTTCACCGGGCCAACCCAGTTTCCTTCCCAGGGGTTTCGTATTCATGCGCCTTTCACCATCAACCCTTCATGTTCATTAAATAAAACCTCACACATAAATATTAATGGGGGTGACGTCACTAGCGGCAATCAATTAGCGTCCTTAATTACTGTAAAAAGCCAGTCTCCTTCCACATAATTAACATTCATGTTAGTCTGCTATTGTTATTCCATGCCAGAGGACCTTACATCCTGTATGGCGCAGGCTTCCATGGGAGACGTCTGCACCAAAGATTAAGAAGCTACCGCTTGTGCGCTGATCTACTTTGAAAAGGGGCTGCCAGAAACTGGCCGGATCCAGGGTTTGCTGCTTGTTCTACAGACATTTTTGTCTCAGTTCTCACCTCCCCACAGAGATCAGTGAGATAGTTAGTAAACAAGGCTCATCGGCTCCTTAGAAAGGCCGCCTTCTCCATGGTCTCCTCTCGTGATCCTGAACGGGATCCCCAGAACCGCCTCGTCAGCCTGAGAACACCTGAATCCAGAGAGCTTGATATTAAGTGACAATCGGGAGCTAATTGCACTGACAGGGCCGTACGCTGCATAATTATTCAAAGAGGAGTTTGTTGCAAATCAATTAATTAGGAGCACGGCGCTGCTTTTAACGCCACAGCGCGCTCCCACCCACTCCTGGTCTCGTGCCATCGGTCCTTTCGTTCCCCCCCCAATTAATACGATTCATCTGCTTTTTGTTTACAAGCATCAAGACTTAATCCAATTAATTACGTGTGAAGCTTCGCTCCCTTGACTATTAGTAGAGGAAAAGTGGGGGTGGGTGGGGGGATGAAGGTAAATTTGCAAAGATTGAGGAGAAAAAGACGAAGTTTGTAATTAATCATTTGGGAAGCTGAGAAATAGGTGTCGCCAACGGCCTGGGTGGAGCAGAGATGTGAGGAGTATCAAATGTAGAAGTGTTTTCCTTCTAGAACACTCTTGGTATGGCTTGACAAGGAGGACTTGGTCTTCCTAGCCTGGCCTTTGAAATGGGTCTAGGTTTCTTTTAAACACCTGCATTGAAATCATTATAGTAAAGGACCCGATTGTGTTGATGAGGTTCTGACACATCTCTTTCCCTTCCGTGGAAGAACCCGGTATGCATAATATATATAAGTAAATGATCCGTTCATGCCAGTTCTCTCTCTTTCACAGTTGATCAAGTATTTAGATCCTATGCTTAACGTCTTCCTCTGACCCCCGAGGGCCACCTCTCAAGGTGGGAGACCAGAGGAGAGACCAGAAATCTCAATGGGAGGAAAGATGAAAACATCTTGGCGGGGAATGTAGCTTGTAATAATCTAGCATTCTTTCCCTCCCCCCCCCCACACACATCTGTATGGGGGAATCTAGCTTGTAATAATCTAGCATTCTCCCCCCCACACACACATAGCTGTATAAAGATAACAGTCTTCATTAAGTCTTCCTGGCACAGGGTTTATGTTTTCAGCCATACAGGCCACTTTTATTTCCTATGTGTGTGCCTTGTTAAATAAAAGCTTTAGTTTCTGCACGGAGCATCAGCCCCAGCTCTGACATTTAACTGCGCACAGTCTGCTTCTTTGGAAAAATGAGATGTTGTTAGCCTGTCACAACTTGAGCAATCAGGAGACTTCTCCTGTCCGCGTGGTGCCTGGATTGGTGCGGAAATGTTGTGTTCTGCACAGCTCAAGCAGCAAACAAGATCGCTAAGACCCAAAACTAATGAAAATATACAAGTAAGGCGAGCTTTTGAATTCTCCAAAAATCTTTGCCAGGCAAAGAGGGGGTAAAAACTACATCCATTCATTCCACCGGCTCGTTGTTTCTATTGCATGCCCAAGCTGTTCGGGTACTGGATGCGACCTTCACAAAAAAGCCCACTCGATTAGTCTAAGCAAGGAATATGGGTACTCACCAAGATATGGCCATTTTCCACAACAGACAAAAGGCATTCTTGGGTGGGAGGCTCCTCCCCCTCGCTCCAAGTAGGCGGGAACATTCAAATCAGTCTGAAGAGCCCTGCCCATGCGGAGGGGAAGTCCAGCCCACTTCTACCACTGCCACCACTCTGGAATAACTTGGTAATAATTAGCAAACCAGTGATAAAAGTAAGAGGAACAGAAATACAGTAACTCAAACAAAAGTTTGGTAAGGGAATGTGTAATAAAATCAAACCCTCTACCATCACCTTGTTGCAAGGAGGCTAAGAAGTCTTCTGCTACAGAAAACGAATGTTATCACAGCAAAATAGCCCAGAAGGGATTTTAAAAAGGACTGGCTGATCAGGCAATGTGCACGGTGCACCCGGTAAGGCTGCATCTGTGGATGGGTGATCGTTTGAATAAAAGGATGGGGGATTCACCCCACTCCAGGCTTTACCACATTTAGCCTCCACACACGTGTTAGCTATTCCGATCCGACTCCCCGGCAGGATTTTCTTAACATCCCGTCCACTGTCCTCCTTGGGTTATACAACGAGCAGAAAAACCAGGGAAAAAGAGAACAACTGTGTTATTGTACAGATGTTTAGATACATCTTGCCTCAGCAGAAGCTGTGGGTGGACAATGAGCCAAGCTGAAAGATTGCATTTTGAAAGGCAATCTCATTTTGCAATACAAATTAGGCAGCTGGCCTCCCGTTCCTAAGCACCTACTATATCAAATGGATGTACACGACACATTTGAGCTGATATGAAAAATACATCTCTTTATAGCTGTTGCTTCACTTTCAAAGCTGGCCTAATCCCCCCCCCAAGAGACACTCTTTCGCCGGGGAGGGGATGGGGGGGCTGTAAATCCTGCTTAACAAGGAAGGTGAAGAGACAGGATAATGCAACAAAACTTTATTAGCCATTGCCATGGGTTATGGAGGAACGCTGCTCTGATCCAGGGCAATTACTCCCGGAGCATTGGGGGGGGGGAAACAGGGTTTAACATTTTATATCGACACACTGAGATCGATCGGGGCAAAGCTGTTCACACTCTGTTCTGGGGGTGAAACCTAAAGGTGTTTTACCAGCTTATTCAAAGTTACTTAAGAGGAAGATCGGAAATGGTGAATGAACACACCTCGCTATCTACCCGCTCCTGGATCCTGTCCTTCTCTTCGAGAGCTTGCTGTCCTTCCTCACTACAAGCGTACAGCAGCACCCGCCTGCTTGTGACATTCGCTTTCTTGGTTCCCGCAACCTCAGATAACCGCAGGTGTGCCACACATTTCAACATCATCTTAGAACTTGAGAGGAGGAAAGGGCCCTATATAGATCATAGGGTCCTGCCCCTCTCAAGGAGGCTCAATGGGAGCCTCACGCCCTCCCACCACTATTGGACCCCCGAAACCCACATCTGGAGCGCAGCATCGTGGCCCCTCATCTCCTCCCTCCGACCCTGCCTAGGTCAGAGGGACTAGACAGGGACATTTCCTCCCTTGCTTCCCCTTCCAGTCCCTTTCTCTGCAATTTCCCCCAGGTCAGGTTACAGATCTGCCACACTCATCATCTCCCGCAGAGGTTTCCTAACCTCAGATCACTCCGATGTTCTTGGACTGCAACTCCCAAAACCCCTGGCCAACCCGGCTGGGGCTGAAGGCTTCTGGGAGTTGCAAGCTGAGAACACCAGGTTGACCCGAGGTTGGGAACCACTGATCTAACAGAAACTGTGCTGAGTCTTTTGCCTGGAGGTCTTGAAATCAAGAGAGGCTGCAGGGCGCAGATTCCGGACCCTTTGCTGCCAGCAGAGTCGTTACAGCAGCGTTGATCAATCAGGAGAGCCTAATTGCTCTTCTGGGGGACCTGAATGCTCCCGTGTCATAAAGGGGTTATTTAGGGTTGTTCGATCTCAGACGCCCACAGCTCCTGGGCCCCCAGGGACGGTCTCTCCTTCCGTGGACTGGTGTTCCGGCCCTCTGGATCTCTAGCTGAAGAAGGAACAAACCTCCAGTTTAAAGCTTTGCTGGGGGAAATCACATCCAGGCAAGGCATTTATAACTTTAACCACAATAAACCTTGTATTAACGCACGCCATTTATAACCACAATAAACCTTGTATTACAACCTATGGGGCCCTTGTTTTCAAAACACCAGTGTGAAGCCTTCTTTGGGCACCTGGAATGGACCGTACTGCTCAATCGTGGTCTAACGTTGTGTCAAAGATATAAACTGGGTTACGGGTGCATAAACTTGGATTTCCCCAAAGGTCAGGTGGGTGATTTTAAACCCAATCCTCGTTGTTTTTCAGACTCAGCCTCTGAGGAACACAGAACGACACGCTGTTAAGCAGCAGAGCACAACCACCTGCCGTTTATTGCTCAAGAAAGACCGTCGGCTTCCGCCGCTGAACCTTCGGATTCGCTGAAGCTGTCTTCGGCTCCACCCTTCTTCATCTCGATGTTCCTGAGATCTGCGTAGCTCTGCCGCCTTCAAGAACAGAGAGGCCTGGGGTCAAAGGCAGCATTCACAAATCCGCCCAGGGCAGAGCAAATGAAGGCAAGCCGCTGAGAAGCAAGGGTGCGTTCCAAAAAGGTTATGAGGATCGGGGCACCTTGTTGACCCAAGAATAAGGGCGCACCAGGTTTACTCTCCTCAGGGTGAATTATACCATCCAGGCAGCCATTGATCAGTCAGAGGAACCACTCTGATGTACAGTAGGACCCCCACATTCATGGGGGAAACTTCCAGCAAACACGCCACACAGAAGATGAAGAATGTGGTTTATAGTGAATGCTATTTGAACGGAAAAGGCTAAAAATTAGCGTGGTCTCTGTTTCCCTCTAGTGGCCAGTTCTGGTAACTTCATCTTTCAAAATATATGTTTCTAAGATTTTTCTTTTAATATATTCAGACTGAAATAAGTGAATCAGTGGATAGTGATCCTACTGTGCGGGGGCCCTACTGCATTTTGTTCCAGGAGCAAAGCACACGGACACACTGAATGCCACTGGCCAGCCTCCCCAAGACCCCAATCAAAACCGGGTCTGCCCCTGCGCCAGGAAGGAAAAGATCCTAAGAGAACTAGAAATGGAAGGATTAATTGGGAAAAGCACAAAGTGCAATCTGTATATATAGAAGACAAGCAGGAAAGGTGCAAATGTAAAAGCCACCGATTCGAAAAGCAGCCTTAGGAGGCAACACAACCTCACTTTATTTTATTTAAATGAGGTTTATTTTTAATGATATAAGCCATCCGGATCTTTTTTTAAAAAAGAAAGAAAGATGGGATATAAATATTTTAAATAAATACAATAAAATAAAGATCCGTATTGATGTGACCCTGCCTCGCCTGTGAAACACAAGTACATACTTCAACTGTCCCTGGAGGCTCTCATGTGGTCTGTGTAGTCACGTGATCAAAAGCATTTGGGGAGTTATGGGCAGGACGCCGGTCTTCTCACTCACCTCTTGACAGGGTCCGGCAGTTTTTCCCGAAGGTCACAGCTGTCGGCCACCGGCCCGAGGATGCCTTCCAAAACGTTGTCAAGGCTTGAATGAGCTCTGTGCAAACAGGGTGATTAAAAAAGACACCGGCAGGTTAAGGGTGGCCTATGCGGGGAGAGTATTATTTTCTCTATCCATCTCTTTCATTATGCTGCTCAAGATTATTAGACCTGAAAGAGAGTTATGAAAAAGAGCCTTAAAGGGTGGTGTGTCCCCCCCCACACACACACATTTATTTTCAAGCCATTTCCTCTGGCTTCCTCCAGAGGCTCAAAACGAGCGGCTTGGGGTTCTTCGCTCTGCCTTCTTTTGCTGCCGGGTGAGTCCCTTGTGCTCTTTGCTGAATTCCAACTGTTATGATTTCAGCGCTGGCTGTTCATGTACTTTAGCGAAATACAATAATGGGGGCTCTGTGTTGGGGCTCTGCGGCCAAAAGGAGTACATAAAAGAAGGTTTAGCGAAATGAGCCGGCCGTGCCAAGACTTTTTTAAAAAGCTGAAGCCGCACCTCCCTATAAATGTCAACATGCAGAATATGCTGTTGTTTGGAAATTTAAGGCGCTAGAGGAGAAGGAGGAGGGCCACTTCGGCAGGTCCAGGAAGCCATTTTTTAATCTCCGGGGTCATACAGGCAACCCAAAAAACAAACAAAAAACCAATGAGTGGCTAGAGGTCCATGTTGATGGTGTCAACGGGATATCCTTTATTAAAATATCCTGTTAAAATGGTGCAGGAGGGCTCTGTGGCCTATTCCAGAGCTGCAGCCCACCTTTACCCACCAGAATAAGTGGGGTGCACTGAGAAGGATGGAGGGCCAACAAAACAGCCTTAAAGGCCACCTGCAACCCTATGCTTTCACTCTGTCCACCTCCATCCATCCTTGGTCAAGCTTCTTGACTACATCGCCTCCAACGGCCGTCATCTTTGGCTGCCCAAGCAGGCCAACATACCAAGAGAGTCTCAGGCCAAGGAAGGGCTGATTGGGAGTTAATTAAATGACCTTGGGTGGTGGCATCCACGGGGGATCGGTTCCAAGCCCTCCTCCACAGATGCGGAAGAAAAATGCGGAAGGATATTCAACACTATATATCGCATGGTCTCCCTCTAGTGGCCAGTAAATAAACCCTGGAAATATGTAGAAACACATATTTCTGAGTTTTACATTTAGTATTTTCAGGCAGTGGAGACTCATCCCACAGTCTGGTGGGGGTGGTCCTACTGTACTGGGCGTGGGGTTCTCTCCGTGTGTTTCAGCAGGCAGAAGTAAAGCTTCCCTTGAGCAGCCCAACTTAGCAACAGAAGCATTTTGACTCCGGAGATGGTCAACGCATTTCGGGTGGGAGTGGGGCCTGTGGTGGGAAAGGCTTGGTTGTCGTCCTGGGTGGGGGTCAGCACCCTCACTGCCCACCCCACCTCAGCCGCTAGACTGGTTACCTTTCCGTCTCGTCTCCTAGACAGGAAGCCTCGTCGACGCAGAGGCTGCCATCAGCCCGACACTTGTTCGGGGCGATTTCTTCATCTTCTTGTTCTTCCAAATCGCCTTCCTCAGGACCTACTGGCGTAAACAGAGCAAATGTCCTGGTAAACGTCAAAGAAGGAATGGAAAGAGTGAAGGGCATTTGGGTGGCCTTCTTGTCCACAGGTCCTTAAGCTGGGATCAACTTTTTTTGTTGTTGGCTCTCAAAATGGAAATCCTTTTTTTTACTGCAGGAGAACCTTCGGGGTCAGATCAGAGCCAGATATTTCGGGGCGAGTGCGCCGGGCTACAACTCAGGGAACCTGGGCTCCAATCTTTGTTTTCATACTGCTTAACTGGCTACGACCCGTCTGATGGGTGGCTACGTGGCTAGCTCAGTGGTTGAGGTCTCTGGCTGCAGAGCGAGAGGTTGGGGGTTTGATTCCCCCACTGGGCCTCGCGAGAGAAGAGCCAGTCCGACAGCCTTGGCCAAGCAGCACAACCCAGTACATTATTAGTAGCCAAGGAGATACCAAGTGGATTTCACTTTTAAAACGGACGGATTGTGGCCCTGCCACAGCGCTGGAACACAGGGAGCTGTTCAAGAGATGCCATACCTGCGACTCCTTTCTCAAGACTATTTTGTTTCTTTTTTTTCTTAGGTCAAGAAAGGTTCAGGGAAGGCAGGGAACACAGCCATAGTGCTGGAACACAGGGAGCTGTTCAAGAGATGCCATACCTGCGACTCCTTTCTCAAGACTGGTCTGCTGAGTGGAAGGCATTTTTCCCCTGAGTTCTTGGCGAGCTTTCTGGCGGGTCAACTGGACACGGAGTTTTGAGCAGAAGGTCTGCAAAAGAGAGGGAGGAAGGGAGGCTACGATTCAACCCCTGGAGATGGGGGTGGGGGGGAACAAACCACGATCTGCTGCTTTCTGCTATCAGAGCTGCTCTGACGGGGCCAAAATGAAGGCTGAAGAGGAAAAAAACATGGAATGTGAGGAAACAAGGAAGAGGAAGAAGAGAGCCGGGCAAAGGAGAAAGAAAGAGAGACAGACTGAGGAGAGAGATGCAGGGAAAGAGAGGGCCTCATCCAAGCGTGGTCTCTTCAGGCCCAAGGCCACGTCTGTGGGTTTTCCCTGGGAGGTGTGCCGGAAGGTGCCCCACGCTTCCCCTTACACCATTTGCCCCAGAGCCCTGGTTAGGAGCATCGCAAACTGCTTTATACCCACTGAGATGGTATCCTAAGCTAAGAGCCATCCTGTAGAGTTTCTGGAGCGAAATTTTCTCAGTCCTGCTTTGCTTAGCGATACTTTGGGACCATTTGCCGCAGATTTAAAGGAGTTTGCAATACACTCCCTGAAGAAAGCCCGCTGGGTCTGCGGACCAAAAAGCGGAGGAGAAAACTGCCTGAGGTCCCCTGCTGAATTATTCGAATATTAAACGAATTAACAACATTACACGAAGAATGTTTGCTAAAGCTGGATTCAGAAGCAACAAAAGGCAAACCATCCCATTTTAAAACCGCTTCCAGACAGCCTGCCACTAAGGAGACGCCTGCCTGAAGAGAAAGGTCTTCGCTTGCTTGCAGGAGGACAGCAAGGATGGGGCCAGGCTGGCCTCCGGTGGGAGGGAGGTCCAGAGTCTTCATTAGACGCTTGTCACAAAAGGGGCAGCTTGTTACTAGTGACCATGTTGCTTACAAACCTACTTTCCAAGCTCTGAAGGATAGGTGTGGAAAAAAACAATAAACATTTCTTGGCAGGAGGGTAGCAGCTTTTAAGCTCCAAGGGGGAAGAGGCGACTGGAAAAAACCACTCTGGAGAGTGGTTGATCTTTCGTACTGAACTATCCCACCGCTTTTGGCTGGACGGTCGGGCGGGGAAACTGGCCAAGAGGTATCTGTGGCCACTAATGAGTTGAATAAATCCCCGACTACCTGCCCTGCCAATCTGAAGAGGCGAGGCCAGCGGTGACCTGCGAGACGGTCCGGGCGCTGGCTCCCGTCCTGGTTCAACGACCTCTAATTTTGTCTGGTGGCAGCGGCAGCCCCGCCGATGAATGGAAGCCGCCACGGAGGCACAAAGGTGGCGGAGACAGCGCCGGCTCTTTAGCGTTCGCTTGAATGGCACGAAAGATAATGGTGGCAGAAGAACAGCAGCGGCGGCAGCGACAGGAGGGAGATCAAGGGGACCGGCAGAGGTTGCCTTGGCAATGCGCCCGAGCAGACGGAGCAGCAGCGGCCGCTTGACAGCCCGGAATTCATGCTGCTGCCTCCCAGGGACGTGTTTTTGCAAAATGGGCCAATTAAGCGGTGGGGGGGAGGCTGGTGGTTGTGGTGAGGGCAGGGGGCGCGGGCGGTCTGGAGGCTGGAAGGTGGCATCTTCACAAGCCTGGGATTAGGAGCCAAGGTGTGACCTCCAAAGCGCCAGGCTCTGGAAGGCTTTGGGGGGGGGTCCAGGAGACCTGAAGGGCCATCTCTCTTCCTCTCTCCCCCCTCCCCAGAGGAGCCCTCTCGGCAGTGAAGATCCTCAGAGGAGGCCCTGCTCTCGGCCCCACGGGCCGGTGGGGAGAGGGAAAGAGGGCCCTCTTGGTGGCAGCTCCCGCCAAGACGGTAGAAGGCTCTCCCTCGGGAGGTCACGCTGGCCCCCTCCGGCAGCTGAGGATCCCTCGCTTCAGGCAGGCCAGGCGGAGTCCCATTTTGAAGTTAAGATAGTTTCCCACGCTGACTTGCTTTTAATTATTCAGTTGTATTTTCATTAGCGTATAGTTTAATTTTTCTTTTCAAGTTTAAACAAGTGATGTTTTAAATTCGGTTCTTTTTAATATTGGGAGCTGCCTTGGAGCCCCTTATCGGGGGGGGGAAGCGCCCCCTAAAACAAACAAACAAGCAAGCAAGCAAGCAAGCAAACGTCTCTTTCTGGGAATCTCAAGCTCAGAGAAAGGCTTTCCCCGCCAGGAAGAGCCAGGATTCCTCAAACCCTTTTTTGGCTCCTCGGCCTGTAGTTTAGGGGGTAGAGCTTTGCACAGAAGAAAGCCCAGGCTTCAAAATAAAAAACAGCGTTAAGAAAATTTAGCTCCAGGTAATCCAAGGAAAAGGAGCTGCTGGAGAGCTCAAGGGTTCAGGCATCTGGATGCGGAGCCAGAGGTTGGGAGTTCGATTCCCCCCCCATGGGGCCTCCTTGACGGGGGGGGCTGGACTCAATGATCCTGAGGGTCTCTCCTGGCTTTGCAGTTCTAAGAGGATGATTCATATCTTGGGGGGGGGGAACCCTGATGCTCACATAATCTGACGTAATTCCTTCATGTCAAATCACGTGAATATCTGGAATCCAGGAGTAAGACGCAGCCATTATTTAATTAGTTCGTTACTTAGTTATACATAATAGTTGCAACTTAGAGGAGTCCCATTCAATCAGCAGAACATACAGAAGACTCGACTCACCGTGTCTCCACTGATTCGATGGGCCTGCTCTCAGTGCAACTTACGACCGGGCTTCAGCCTTCCTTGGCCGCTCAGAGGCCGGGGTGTGTGTGTTCCTTTTGCTTTACAGCTTTTATACCCTATCTCGCCTCTGAGGAGTGGGAGACGTTTGACAGCCAGAGAAAGATGTCCTGCATCAGAGATGTTGTGCAGTTTTACAACATCCCAAACCACTTCTGAACAGGTAGGAAAACAACCACGGGGACCTCAGAGAAGGCCCTGCCTGTCAAAAAGCCTCCACGGCTTGGAACCGGGTCTGACCCCAACTTAACTTACGCGTTCACCACACCCCGGAGAGGGAGAGTCCCGTTTCTTCCCTTTCTCGCAGGCTGCAGGAGGGGTCCTTGGTCCCAAGGAGAAGCTGTCCGGACCGGCCCATGAGGTGGGGTCGAACGTCATCACACAGTAACCCTTGTATTTTTTGACCTTTGAGGAAAACCTTGGCGAGGAGGCTGTAAAAAATGATGATGATGCATGACCAGGGACATCTGCTGTGACAAAACAATGCACCCTTCTTTTCTAGCCTGTGGCAAAGTAACCCCCCCCCCCGGCCAAAATTAGACGGGCGATCTATTTTGGTGAGTAGCCATGTGTCTATCCGCCTAGGGTGGGTACTGAGAGTGATGTCTAACAAATAAGAAAATTATTTCTTATTGATCACACACCCAGGTGATGTCTGATCAATAAGAAAAGGCCCAGGGCTACCCAGCTTCTCAGCCATTCAGCCATGCCAAAGTAATACAGCCTAAAAGCACTGCTGGCCCAGCCTTACGCCTTCAGAAATTCTCCCGAAGCCTCTTTTAGCTACTAAAATCTGCGGGTCAGTTCTGCTGTTTGGAACCCAATGTTCTGCAAAAGTCCGACTTCATACTGCAAACCCTGAAGACGGCCACTCTGCTTCCGCGCTAAACTGTGTTCTGTCTCCTAGCCGAAAGGCAGACCGCCCACAACAGGGGATCGGCGTGGGGAGGGCGATTCTCTGGGGTGCTGGAAGCCACCGCAATGTCAGGCTGCACCTGATGCTACGAGGAAGCAGAACTGCTCTGGTGGCACCCACTCCGTCGTCTCCTGCGAGGCCGAAGTCCTTTCCATCCCACGCTTCTTACCTGGGCTAATGGGGGTGCTGGCATCGGTTGGTGAATGAGTGTTCTTGGGAGTTTTAGGAGCCGGTGGCTTGCAAGAGTCCTCACAGGGGATGCTCGACAAGTCCTGAATGTCAACCGTCGACCTAAATGAAACACAGCCCAGGTGTAGACGAGCTGCCCCCCCCCCCCCCGGTGGTGCCTAGGGCAGCATAACGTGCCGGGGATGTTGCAAATCCACAAACCCACAAGTTGTCGCCTCATCCTCCTCCCGGGTGGGCAACAACCAACAGCAAGAAGAGACTTGGCCCGGTTGGGCTTCCCACGGAAACAGAAGCAAGGGGTCCCTTACTCGTCGCTCTCTTGGAACTCTCCCAGAACCTGGCCCGGCTGTGCGCTCTGCCTCGTCTGGATGCTAGAAAGAAAGGGGGGGGGGAGAGAAAAAGAACCAAATGGGTAAAATGTTAGGGGTTGGCATGATTCCCTTTGAAAGCTGCCAAGCACGTTTTTCAAGGTACATAATGAAGGGAGCTGCAGAAACTCCTGAGTGGTTCTCTGGAGAAAATGAAGCCCATAAAAATAAAATTAAAAAGCCAAACCAAGAGCCCCGATAGGCTTTGTTCTGCAGTTTTTTTTCCACCCCTCAACGAACCGAGGAAGAAGCTGCCATCAGTCATACTGACGGTCTATTAACTCAGTGCCGCTTAAGGCTGGAGAAAGAGAGCCGCTTAGATGTTCTGTCATTGTCCAAGAGGAGCCCCTCAGCCCAAGCGAGCGTAGCTGACCGATTTCCCTGCTTCGAAGGGGCCACCTAGGCGGCCACAGCAGCCGGTCTGAGCGTTCCCTGGATCAAGCCATGGCCTTGGGCCCTCCTTTCCCAGCCTGCCCAAGTTCCCACCAAAGTAAGAACTCTCTCTCTTGGGGCCCTCTCTTCCCTTGACCTCTGCCTGTTTTTCAGCCACGCAACTGTTTTTTTTTACACAAGATTGTGGGCCCCGTCCTACTGCAGAAGGAAGGAGAGGTGGGCAAGATGCAATCTACTGGTAGATCTACCTGTGGTTTGCTGTAGGATTACCAAATGAGGAGTGGGAGGGGACTAAAATTCGAAGGCCTGAAGTGGGTTGACCCGTATTATAAACTGCACAGAGAGGGGCCCCAGCTGTCTTTTGCAGAGGGAAAGGAAAAAGGAACGGAAAGCGGGGAAGCTGGAGTAGAGGGAGAGAAAACAAGAAGAGGCCCAGACAGACGGAGCAAGGAGATCTAAAGTGGAAGGCAAGGAAGGGGGAATGAAAGGAAAGGCTCTACGCTGATGGGGGGATTCGGGATTTGAGGAAGAGCCCGGAAGACCCTGAAGGAGGGCCGCCCCATAGATGACCACAAGATGCAGAAGCCCAGGAAGGGGAGGAAAAGAAGGGTGAGAAGCTTAGGTCAGGGGAGAGCGTTGAAAGCAGGAACCGACAGAAGAGACAAAGGATTGATTCAAAGAATCCAGGCTTCAGGACTTTTCGACTTGTGCTGTGTGTTTTTTTTCTCTTCCCCCAAATGAATTGCCACTTATTCTTTCGAAGGAAAAAAAATACAGTCGTGCCCCGCTTAACGATTGCCCATTACAACGAATCCACTTTACGATGTTTTTGCGATTGCAACTGCGATCGCAAAACGATGGTCTCATTGGGGGGATTTTGCATAGCGATGATCGGTTCCCTGCTTTGGGAACCAATTTTCGCTTTATTACAACGAATCCACTTTACGATGTTTTTGCGATCGCAACGGGGGGGATTTGCATAGCGATGATCGGTTCCCTGCTTCGGGAACAGTTTTCAATGCATTTCAATGGGCTTTTTAATTTCGCTTTACGATGTTTTTGCGATCGCAACGGGGGGGATTTGCATAGCGATGATCGGTTCCCTGCTTCGGGAACAGTTTTCAATGCATTTCAATGGGCTTTTTAATTGCGCTTTACGATGTTTTCACTTAACAGCGATTTTCCTGGAACGGATTATCGTCGTTAAGCGAGGCACCACTGTACCCAACCACTGAGATCTATCGACAACACAGGGTGAAGATGGGTTGGGCTCACGAAAACAAGGATGGCCATGTTTTCTTGCTTTCCCTAGATCTCCACTTATGTTACACGCAGAGATGTTGACTGAAACCCTATTGAAGGAAAACACAGGTGAATCTACATTTGAAGGGCCGTCTGGCAGAAGGGGACACTTTCCTACCTGGCTGCAGGCATAAACACATCTCGTCCTGGGCCTTCTGGGTGGTGAGGTTGTGCCCCTCCGTCCTGGGGGAGCAGCTTCTCTCCTGTGAAAAAGAAGGGCAGCCTGTTTACAGAGGGTTGTTCTGCAAGTGGGGGGACAGGAAGATTCGACCCCGCTAATGCAGGCTGTGGGTGTGGATGATAGGCATGAGATGGGGGATGATGGGAACTGGTGTGCCCAAAGCTCAATTTCCTAAAAGCAAACTTAGCGTCATGGTGGTGGTGGGGGTAGTGGGGGCATACCAGAGATTTTTGCTCCTGCTACTCAGCAAAAATAGAGATTTCCTTTCTTGTTCTTCTTTTTTTAACCAAGCACATCTAGGAGTTCCCGAAGGCTGACAAAATATTTACTAATCCTCAGTGAAAACAAACTCAGTGTCAGAGTACATGTATGAGGCCGTCCCCCGCCCCTTCAGGGAGGAAGATGGAAATCAGGATGTTATGCGTGAAAATCTAATTCCATCTCTCGCCGGCTCTGCAGTCAAACACACGGGGCTGCTGAATCAGCAATGGGATGTCATGGGCGCTGATAGCGATAATAAGATTTTCAAACCGTAGCGCCGCAAGGATAAGAAGCTGTGCCTACCAAAACACGGGAGAAGACTTCTCTCCCGCGGCAGCCTCCCTGCGCCTGGCCTCTCTCAGTGCGTACACCATCAAAGTGCTTCAAATAGACTTCTCCCAGTAAACATGTGTGTGGGGAGAATGTTAAATGCGCTTCTCCCCCGTCGGAGACTTCACTGGTAGAGGCAGAAATACGTAGGCTTTGTATCTGTGTGGTTTGAGCCTGGTGGCGCAGTGGACACACGGCAGGACTGCAGCCGAGACTTTGCTCACAACCTCGGTTCAACCCCAGGTAGCCGACTTGAGGTTCCCTCAGCCTTCCCATCTTTCCGGGGTCGGTAAGTTGAGTACCCAGCTTGCTGGGGGGGGGCAACATGTAGGCTGCATAATTGTTGTCAACAGGGTGGGGAGATGCCTTCCTTGGGTGGCCTAGTGCCCCATCACACCCCCACACCCCAATACTCTTGCTGCTGCTGCTTCCAGGCAGTCCTCTGGAAGGCCACATCAGGTACTTCCTTAACTGTGGCTATTGCTCAGCTCTCCGCAGGTCGGCAAGCCCAGAACAAGGTGGTCCTCTTGCTGCTGCTTCCAGGCAGTCCCTCTGGAAGGCCACATCTGTGTAGCCTTGGCTATTGCTCAGCTTTCCACAGGTCGGCAAGCCCAGAACAAGGTGGTCCCAGATTCAGGTAACGGTGGGGATGGTAGCCTGGTGAGCGCCGAAGAGGGAAGGAGGAATGCCCTCCCTTCTTTGAAACCGTGGGATCATGCATTCAAGAAAGGCTTGTAACACTTTAGGTATCCCAGGCATGGCCTTGAGTCGGAGAAACCCAAGCTGGGCTGTTAGGGACGGGACAGTTGAGAGGCTACCAGTTCACACTTGGGGGCACAAAAGAATGACAGGGATCCCCATTTCCCCTCAAAAAACCACATCGGCTTTGAAGGGGACAGGACTGCATTTTTCAAATCCTTGAAAAAGTAGACATGCAGAAGGAGGGGCAGGATCTGTTCTCGATCCTCCCAGAGGGCAGGACACATCATGATGGGCTCAAGTGACAGGAAGCCAGATTTCGGCCGATTATCAGGAAAAAAACACTTCTGAACCGTTAGAGCAGTACGACAAGGGAGCCCATGACCTCGGGAGGTGGTGAGGGCTCCAGGGCTGGAGGCCTCCATGAGAAAACTGGACAGCTGCTTCTCAGATCGGCTTTGGTTGGCACTGAGAAGGGGGCTGGACGTGATGGCCTTAGAGGCCCCTTCCCACTCAGTTATTCTACGATTCCTAGCCTTTGATTCGAGAAAGGGGAGGTTTGACTTCTGAATGTTTCTTGTGCTTGGCTGGACCACCCCTGGAAGGAGAACGGTCCCTCCCTCAAAGCCGGGAGACCCCATGCCTCCTACGAGGCCACTTCCCCTGCTCTAACCTCACAGACTGCGGTGTGTTACAGCTTTGGGGAAAGGCAGGCCAGCTACAAACAGCAGAGGGGAACGCCACATTTGCCCAGGAGAGAGAGAAAGAAAGAGAGGCCAACAGGCGATGTGACATTTAAAAGTCCTCAAAAGGTTTGGCTGAAGTGACGGTGGTGGTGACCCCTGTAATGGAGGTGGGGGGCATGGTCTTCTTAACAGACATCTGCAAGCATCTCAAAAGCCACTGTGGCCACAGCTGCTTCACTGAACTTCTGCATACTGAATTAAAGCAAGGCTGGCCCTTGGCCCAGACCGTCCAAGAACCAGCCCAAGGTGGAACAGGAAGCCCGTTCAGAAAGATGTGAAAAACTGGACTGATATTTGGAAAGTCCTCCCCCTGCGGCCAAAAAGGGGGACTTGCCTTTCAAAGTATCCGTGGGATGCTCGTTCTTCCCACGGCCTTTGTGGGACATTTCCAAGTCTTCCTCTTGACTCCACAACAACTGTGTCCTCTCTAGGTCGTCTTCTTCTTCTTCTTCTTCTCCGAGAGTGGTACTCTGAATCAACAACAACAAAAGCTCGGTTTCCCAAGGGGCAAACTGAAGAGGAAAACTGGTGCCTCTGGAGATGGCATGGGAAGGAGCCGGCTGCACGGGGATCTCTTACGGCCCTTCAGATCCGAACGGGGGGAAGTCTTGCCGTTTTCATCTCACCCAGAGTGGGAGGACCGGCCCGTGCCTTGGAGGCATCCTTCCCTAGAAGCCTGGACTAAAACGTCTACCATCCCACCCCCTAGGCCATGCTGGGTGGGGCGGATGGGATTTGGAGTCTGACCCCCAGAAGGCTAGCAAAGCCCCACTGCCTGCTTTAACAGGACACGCTGCGGACGGCACCTGGAACCTTCTGACAGCACCCCATGTGCACCGTGCTGGTAGGGCTAAAGGCCTTCAAGACCAGCTGGCTTGCTTCGGGCTCCTCCGCCTCTTCGAAGGGGGGGGGGTTCATCTCCAGAAGTTACTGGTATTTTTCTTCTCATTCACAAGATGTTCCACCAACCACATGGTATTGCCTGCCCGTCCTCCCCGTGACCTTTCCCTCCCCTCTTGCGTTTTCTGAAAGCATGTTTTAATGTCCCTTTGTACTGGAGCCAAGTTTAGGGCTGTCTACTCGCAGTTCAGATCTGCAGAGAAAGCCTTTGGTCAGAAGCTCTCAATTAGTGCTTTTTTTTTTTAAAGGGCGGGAAACACTGCAGCACAGAAGTTCCAAAAATGGTGAAGAGGCAAGACAAGGGATGAGGATCTTGAAAGGAAAGTTTGGGTGCAAATCCCAATCAACGCTGTGCTCTTTCTGCACCCAGTGGCTGGATGCTGAGGGTGGGACAAATGCCCTGGCTGTGGGCCCATGACGCTCCCCTCCCGCGCCTTCCCTTTTGGCGTGCCATCCCATCATCCACAGGCAGGTCTTTCCAGACCTGACAGATCCAAAGCAAATGGGAACACCACGCCACTGGGGAGCGACAATGCAGGCAACGCTGCATTTTCCCATGATCCCGTGCGTCTTCCCTCTTACCGCTAGTCCGGATGGTTCGTGAGGTGCCGAGGAGTCTAAAAAAAACTCCGAGTCGGGCGTCAGAAACTCCTCAGATTCATTCAGAGAGGAACACGGGGAAGGGGCCAGCTTCTCCTGCTGTCCCTGAAAAAAGTACCGTGAAGGAATCGGTGCTCAGGACTTCACCAAGTGACGCTGACTTATTTAAACGCTTCTACGTTGCCCTTCGTTATTAGTTCCCAGGGAGAAGGAAGACAACATCTAGACACGTATGATTTCCCTCGATGGCTGCTATTAATATTTCGGGACGCCCCGATCCTCTGCCACTCTGAAACCACTTCCAGAGCTCCTCTCAGGCCTCTCTGCCATTCTATTTACTTTCTGAGGGAAAGAGATTGATTTGCCGAGGGTTGCTAGACGATGGACAGGGGCAGACGGCTGCGCCGGCTCTAGGATCTCTGGAAGGACGTCTTTACAAGAGCGGAGGAAAGTCAGGTGTGGGCAAGGGGAGAGATCCCACTGTGTGGAAAAGGCTTTGCTTTAAAAGGATTGCTTTTAAAAAGTTCCTCTGGCTGCTCTTAGGCGCCTCCGTGAAGCTTCTGGTGTTACTGCCTCCTGGGCAGACCCCCAGGCTTCTTCCTCCCAGTCCGCTTTGGCGGGCCCCGGGGAAAGGGAGCGCAGGCGAGAGCAGGGAGAGCTGCCCGGATTTCACACCTTTATTTCAAATTCAGCAAAGTGGCATTGTGAGTCCCTGAGGACGGGATGGGGCGGCAGGGAGGCCCTCCTCAGCCACAGCTTCCGCAAAATTCAAGACTCCCAGAGCTACTGGAATGAGAGTCGGGTCGATTAACAAGAGAAGGGCCTCCTGGCTGCATTTTTAAAAAATTATTATTTTTTAAATAACCCCCCCCCCAAGGGATCTCAGGAGCCCTGATCTGGAGAAGAATGCAACCTTCTGACTTAAATGCCATGTCTGGTCCTCGCAGCAGATGCTCAGCAGGTCTTTTGCTGCCTGCTCTGGTCCTCAGA